GTCTCGATCGATACACTTGCCGATCACTCCTCCACCAATCCTTCTACTCGCGGTACCTGCAATTATTTTCTAGGTGCGGTCGCAGCAGTTTTGTTTTGTGCCGAGCAACGATTTGCAAGATATCCCGCTTTCCTTGGCGGCCGCGCGAAGCGACAAGCATCTGAGAAGTTGTTACTAGGACACGACGGACAGGCAAGATGTGCTTGTGTGCCATTTCTTTGTCCTTCGATATCGGTGTGTAGTCAACAAAGTAACAAAAATGTAGCGTCAGACACACGAGGCGTTTTTGCAATCGTCCGTTCCGATCTGTACGGGTACACTCTACCTGACAGAGTGATTGACGTATGAATCACCCGCGGCAGGGTTCTCGCGAAGAGCCAGAAACCCGAACACAACGTTCTTCCAGAAACAACTACATGCTGGGATACAACGCCTGCTGCGCATTAGCTCATGATTCAACCAAGCTAAATGCCTAGGCAAGCCACCATTCAATGGTGGTGTATATGTTTTGTAAGAGTCAGACATGATTGTTTTGACGAAATGGCCTACGGTACACAAATGTCTACCGAACCAATTCACCTATTTTTATGGCGTGCTTATTTTGCATCAACTGCCCGACCTGCACTCCACATTGACTGTCGTTGAGCTTTGTCTTGAAATCGCTTTATTTAGGCGGTGGCACCGAGCGTCATACACCTCGTACATACCTCCATGTTTTTCCTTGGTCTTTTCAAAATCAAAATCGGGCAAACTAGAACCTCCTAGACTTGACAATCGGATGTGCTGGCAAGGACCATGGAAGGGCCGATGTGTTATACAATCTTGGCTACATCGCCCGCTTGCACCAGCGATGTTCCATGCTTGGTGGGACGTTACGGGGAACAGTGTTCGAAGGCCGTTATCCATGTTGGAAAACCGTCCATGTCCTTGTGTAACTATCGTACAACGTCACTCAAGCTGGATTGGTTGTTTAGGTGTGTTCGATATCGTAGTGAAACGACATTACATCTCGCGGTTGTGCACGGCATGCTACTCGCCGGAGTACGTGTGCTGGGAATTTCAACTCCGGAGAGATGAGGTGTTCGGCTACGGTTTGCTGCGAAGAGTAAAGGTCGTGTAGGCCGAGTTGGTTGTGAACCACATGTATTTTCAAGTCCCACTTCCAGATTCCCGCACAGTCGTCCTTGCATTGGCGTTGCAACTTGGATTCGGTTTTCTCATGTCTCTTTCTTGCTTCATTTTTTTTTTTTCTGTGGTCTTGACTTCTTTCTTTGCCCTGCCCGTCTTTTCCTGCGCTCTTAAGCCACTCTCCGCCCCTTTCTCGAGCCCTGAAACGGCGCAGTATTGCTTTCCTCACCCTTGCTTTTCGGAGTTCCAATTTTCGCGACGAAGTCGTCGCGCCGCTCTCTCTCTCTCTCTCTCTCTCTCTCTCTCTCTCTCTATTGCCTTTTCATCGATGGACATGGGTAGACCCTCTCCCCAAGTTGGTCGGTTGCTGTTTGCTGGCAGGAAGGATCGATAACAGGACTTGCCTTGAGTCATCCATAGCAGCAGCAGTAGACCTTGTTCACCTTGTGTGTTGCCGTAAAATGTGCACCCCGGCACCAAAGGCGCTATTCGCCACTTGTAGTCGGCGATTTCATTGTACACAGCTGTAACAAGCATTCGCTCACAACCCCGAAATTGTTGGGTTGTGACTACTCGCCTCTACCCGCCATCCTCGCCTCTTCTCTCCGGTGCTGCCCCTTTTTTGCAGGGTTGACATTGTGTGCAAATGTTATTTGCCAGCATGCATGCCATGCCCCAGCGAAATCGCGGGCTATGGCAACGGGCACTGGCATGCCTTCGATGGCATCAGTCGGACCCCCATCGTGGAGGTATCGACGTGGAGGTACGTTATGGATGGCCGGCCTCTCGCGACGGCTATCGGGTACTGGTGGTCAGTTTCTCCAAGCCCATTTCACGCTTTTCCGTGCCACGCCGTTCTTGATGACAATCACGAGCCTGTCGGCCATGTGCATGGTAGCCCCAACGCTAGAACACTTTAGCCACAGTCACCTAGGAGTATGTCTGAACATTAACATTGTGCTCACTTGCCCACGCTTCACCCTGCCCCACGCTCAGTCAAGAGGAGGCGAAGATGATTGCCGCCACCATGGAGCTCACGGCACGCGCAGGACCGCGGGCAGGGAGGTAATGTCGCCCAGGAATGGAGGCTTTGTTGTGCAGTGCCCATGTTGAAACGACAAGGAGAAACGAATATTGCAGGGCGTGATAGCAGTGTCGATTGTAAGCTGGGGAATTCTCATTGTTGGAATTTTTTTATAGGCGAGAGCATTCGATGTCAGTAGCAAACGAGAGTCATTCTAATATCGATGGGTGCGGCTGCTCCCCCCCGTGATATTGGCTGGCTAAATGACCTCGACGACCTTATTATCACCTGGCTCCTCTCACTGCTGTCATGCCCGCGAAGGTTGTGAAGGAGTCCCAGGGGACGGGGAGCAAACGAAAAGCGCCCGGGGCGGCGGGCAAGGAGGTAATGTCGCACAGGAATGGAGGCTTTTTGTTCAGCGACAAGTGTGAAGCGAGGCACAAACAACTTGCAAGACGTGATAGCAGTATCGATTGTTGGATGGGATAACCTCCGGGTTTGTTCGTCGCTATCGTAGACGGGAGCATTCGATGTCAGTAGCAAACGAGAGTAATTCTAATATCTGTAGGTGCGGCTTCCCCCCGTGACGTTGGCTGGCTAAATGACCCAGACGACCTTCCTTAAAGTCACTGCTGTTATACCCACGAAGGTTAAGGGGGAGGGCGAGGGCAAGTCCACCGGCACGGGCCAGAGCAACCCGCGCACTGCCGCGGGCAGGGAGGTAGTGTCGCACAGGGGCGTTCATTGTATTGTTGCTGTTTTGATGTCGCATGGCAGCCGTTGCGATGTTTATTTGCCGTGCCGACAAGGAGCTGTCGCTCTTTCCGCTTCGGTCGCCCCAACACGACCTGCTGGCTGACATACACGCGCTGCACTCACATTGAGCCTTGAATCGAAAGTGGTGCTTTCGTTTGGTCGCTGACAGGCTTGGGGAACGAAGGTGACCATAAGATGTCGCGCCCAAATTGACATCCTTCATCGTCTTGGCTCGATGTTGGATGTTTTTTGTGTCGTCAGGTTTGCAAAGTCTGCCAAACGTACGGCAATATGGTCATCTGCGACGGTGGTTGCGGCAGGGGTGAGTGTCCTGCGGTTTGTCGAGACTCGCTTGACTGGGTGGTTTCGAATTGGTGGCATATGGAAATTCCACGACAGACGCAAGGGAAAAGTTGCCTGGAAGGATCACCTCCGTGCTTCAGGTTGGGCTTACAGCCAGGAAGGAGGATGGGTGTTTCGCTAATTCAGTCACAGTGGACGCCCTACCACCTTTTCGTTCACCTACAGAATTATAGTGCCTTTACGCGCGCGTGTCGACAACGGAGATAGAAATGAGCATGGTTTCCACGTAACCTAGAGTGTGCAGTATCGCTGGAACGTGAGGTACACCCGCCTTTGGTGCTGACCATGTATACCACCTGCCCCGACACGTTCTGCTGTTGTCTTGTCTGCCTTTCCCTGTGCTGTGAACGACAGCTTTCCACCCGCCGTGCATCGGGCTGGACCCCGTGCCGGAGGGATCCTGATCGTGCTCTCGGTGCGACCGGTCGCCCGAGGCGATGGCGTTGCGCCGCAACGCCGCCGTGATGGCGGACCGGGTGGGGTTGGTGCGTAGAGCGGCCACCGAGCACTAAACGGCAGCGGCGGCGGCGGGGCTGGTTGGTGTGGAGGGGAGGTCCGCGGAAACAGCAACGACGACATTCTCCTGTTGCTCAAAGGCAGCGGCGACAGCGGCGGCGGCGGCGGCGCACTCGTTTGCAGCGTTGGCTGCGGCTGCTTTCTTCTCGACCACCGACTCCTCTACAGAGGCGTCGGCGTCGGCGGCGACGGCGTCGGCGTCGGCATCGGCGGCGGTGGCGTCGGCATCGGCGGCGTATTTATCTGCGGCAGAGGCAGCGGCGGCTGCGGTGGTCGCTTTAACACCCGTTTGTCCAAAAACGAATGCATTACATTTTCTGCGCCACCTGGGACCAGGTGCTTTGTCAAAGCCAACACGGCTGAGCTCACCAATCAACATGGAACGGCCCGGTTCCAGATCGCCGAGCCTGACTTGAAGGCTCTCGCGGAGACTGTCAACAGTTTGAGCACGAGCGTGCACGAGGCGCAGCAGCAGGGATCCCGAATCGAAGACGAGGACATCGCCATCTGTTGGCAGAACTCCGCATCGAACCCGGAAAGCGGATCGAGGAGGAAGCGGTGAACGCGATTCAGGGGTAGGCTACTATCGAGGACGATGATGAAGTCGTTGAGGCTATCAGGCTGGATACGGTGGACGACATGACGACACACCTGAATGGGGTGCACGTGCATGCCGGCCGCGAGGAGGAGGACGAACAGGAGGACAGGGGCGATGAGGACATGGGGCGTGTGCGCCGTGCCCCACCGGCGTATGGTGAACTGTCGTCTTACTTCGGCGTCCTGGAAGCGGCAGCAGAGGAGAGTCGCAACGGAGAAGCGGCGCTCTATCTAGCGAAAGCGAAGATGGCGATGATAGTAGCGCATTCCGCTTCGCGGGTGCGCCAGGCGGACATGAGAGAATTTGTCGCGACGTAGCGAGGATGCGGGTACATACAGCTGTAGCAGTGGTTGACTTCTTGCGGTGCGCTGCCGGTATTTCGTTTGTATTGTTTTTTGTTGCAAAATCGAAGGGGGTGCGCCAGGCAGACACGAGAGAATTTGTCGCGACGCAGCAAGGGCGGGGGTTGCAGCTGTAGTTGTGTGCTTTTTTTGTTTTTTCTTTGGTGCGCTTATAAATTGTTTTGTTTCTTGATTTTCATTTTTCAACATCGAAGGAGGGCAACAAAGGGTGAAATTTAGCTTTGTACGAACGAGAGCTTTTCAAGCAGTTTGTGCCGGTCACAGCCTACTCGGGTGCATGATGTGTGTTTCCCTTTCGCCGTCGACTAGCCTTGGTGAGGCACTGCTGTAGCCCGAAATGCAACGATCTTATTTTACAAAACTCTTGTGGGCTCGACAGGGTGACACCGCACGTGTCGCGGGAAAGAAGTCTGCCCAGGCCTACACTAGAGCTTCACATAACAGCAGTGTCGATCCATTTCGCACTACAGCAGTACTGACTTGGCCCCGCAATCGTGAACGCTACACCGTAACTCGCACACGTTCTCATTAGTGCCAGACCGGCACTAATGAGGGGTTGGCTAGCCTTCAATAGTGCCGTTTTGGCATTATTCGCAATAGTGCCGGTTTAGTGCCGGTGAAACCTCTCGACACATACCGGCACTATAAAGGTCCCTCGACTGTACCACGGTGTGTGTATGGGTGGTATCATTACTGTTGTAGGACGTAGAGGGGCACGGGAGAACATTTTATACTTGAAAGTATTTTCTTAATATGACACAACGAATCCATCTCCAAGGCAGGAGTCCAAGACAGATCATTTTTATCCTTCCGTGTTGTGCTGACGTGGTTATGCATTGATTGGTGCAGCCAGCGTGTAATATTTGGATGGGTATGGTGTGGGTCGGATGTATGGCCGTGCAGGCCACCCCTCCCCGACCGAGAGAAAAAACATCTCCAAAACAATCACGCCGTATTTCAGCCTTAGCCGGGATATTGTAGAAACCCAAATTTTCGGTTGGGGAACATTTTTTTCGCCCTCCCTTGTGCCTCCAAAGTCGTATTGAGCGTATGCATGCATAGAGGCCACGCTTGTGTGAAAATGAGAACCGAGATCGTTGGTCGCAACTACTTGTTTGTACTAATTGCAGTCCGGCACACGGAAAGATTCAACTCTGCTTCCGCTCAAGAGTAGCAACGCGCGTCTGCAGCAGCACTCACTCCCCTGTTAGCTACAACGACTCTCTCTAGGACACCCCTTTATTAAACGCGAAATATTGATCGCAACCATCTCGTCGACTAATCGATAAAATATTAACTCCCACACTGCATGTACACCCACACTGCATGTAAATATCGACCCTATCAGATACCACGAGAAGTAATGTCGGTTTCGTACACAGCTCCATTGAAAACTACATCGTTGCGGCTCGCCAAGCAGTCATTTGCCTCAAGAAGTCACAACATGACAGTACATAGGTGGACAAACCGGTGGCGAACAAAAAATAACTCCCGAACCGTTCATCGTTCGCTCCTACCACACAACAAATGCGCAAGACAACCGGAAGACGTAAAGTGCAGCGTCAAGGTCACGATAGAGATTACCCCAAGTTTTATGTCAAGTCCCTTTTTGTTCATATGCATACAGCAAAGGAAACACACGTCTGTACCGCTCCTAACGACACCCCCAGCCTGCAGAATCGCTCGCATTTTTCTCGAATAGTCCACCACAACTTCACTCACAACAAATCACCAGCCCCAAAACACAAAACAAACCAAAACGTGTCAACAGCAGAACCAAGAGCAGTTTTCTATTTCAGAGGAGAGCTGGCGACTCTAAACCTCAATGACATCAAGCATTCATTGTACGACCTTCATGAGAACACGTCCAACATGGTTCAACCCCTTGGACACTCTCGACAGCAAGAGGCTGCATTGCGTGGAACATGCGGCAGCCTACACCACGTTTCATCAAGTGGTTTCCTTGTGTTTTCCGTAGGATCCAAACCACCCCACCGGGGTCGCCGCCGGTACATTGTTCTCGTTGTTGCGAAGGCTACCCTCTTCTCCCGCGAACGCGGGGCCTTCCCCGTAGATACCACCCGGCACAGTGCTCTCCTGCACCATTGACATGCGGAAGGACGACTCCGAGTCTGATTCCTCCGTCACGCCCACCATTTCGTCCAACACGGACGAGGGGAAATCGACGTCGTTAACTTCTTCCGTTTCTTGGAGCTGAAACGGTTCCTCCGCGCCTTCTTCCGCATCCGTTGCTTCTGCGTCCATGAGCGTGTCGTTGCCCTTGCCCCCCCCCATGCCCACCAGCTCCGATATTTGCTCGCTTTGAGCAACCAAGCACGCCAAAAGAATTACGCCCGCTCCAACAAGGGCATTCGGCCCCATGGTCTCTTTCAAGAACAGCACCGACACCAGCGTGGCCCACAGAGGCTCCGTGCTAAAAATAACGCTGGCCAAGAAGCATTGGGATGTCGTGATAGGGATGGCGGGAAGAGCATGTGGGTTCCGATTGAATTGACAAATTTAGAATTGACATTCGAAACAACGAACCAACGCCCACGTACAATGCTACCAACACTTCTTCTTGTGCAAGGGGTTCCCACCGAGGCGGTCTTGTTCAACGATTACTGACACGCTTTCTGCCGAAGATGGAGTGTCCGTCAACTCGAGCGAAAGCATACCCTTCGGCCGTTTGATCAAAGTTTCCGGCCACAATTCAGGACAATGCAACAGGTCCTCACCTCATTTCAGCCGCAGGAACTTTCTCCAGGCAAACGGTCTCCAGCCAAATAGCGAGCGAGGTGGTCACTAGCCCGGTGTAACTCAAAGCAGCCAAAATTTGAGGATCTTTGACGAAGCTGAGTGGAAAACAAACACAGTAGAAGCAGCGATGATTGAAGACCTGCTTTAGAGGTTGTGCGATATCTCTGGTAGTAGAGTGAGGAACATCTTTGTGAAAGACTCGTGGAAAGTATTCACTTCCAAGCTAAAGGTCTTCACTACCTTCCTGACCTTTTCCGCTCGAGGGTGAGAAAACTTGTTGTGTACGTACGGTGATCGCGGATGGCTCACCTGAAATCCGGAAGATGGCCGCCGGCTGAAAACGTACACCAGATTCCTGTCAGTGCGGCGACGGAAATCAGCTGCCCGATCGACAGCTGTAAGCTCTTCCCCGGGAACTTTTCCATGTAGTGCTGAACGGACACAAAACAATACGATCGCGTGCAGAGCGTTAGGGCATACGTTTGCTTGGGGTAGAGGCATGTGTCGGCGATAGGCCGGTCAGCTAAACACCGAAGGATGCAACGAAGAAAAATATTGCTACTTCTAGCACTTGTTATTCACGGAGTGAAGAGCGACAACTCGTGTAGCTCTCTGAAACGCTGTGCGCTACTGTTGGCCTCCACATGGGCAACGACAAACAGCGAGAGGGATACAGCAGCGGTCCATCGCATCCACGAAAACAAAAACAACGGCACCAACCTCAATCCGTGTGAAAGCCACGCCGAACCCGACGGCCTGAGCCACACACCACAGATCGTTCCAAGACGCGTGGGCATCTCCCAACTCAAGAAACCCGGTGCCGACGAGGGCAAGCAAAGACGCCGCTACCGTCACGCGCTTGATGCCCTTGCCAGTCACAGCATCCAGCAATGGGACGACCACCTGCCGCACAACGGCCATACGGAATAATAATCATGGAGACCAGCACCATCGGCACAGAGCGGAAGAAGGATTTGACGTCGGGTTGGGGGAGAGGAAAAATACAGCTCACACCTCAGGTTCAACCGTTAGACCGAGTACGCCCCACTCACGGCGTGCCTGTAGGGATACGAGATCAACAATTTCCGGATCCGCCAGCATTCTACATTATTATCCCAAGTGCATGGAAAGTATACCATGTTACCATTTTCTTTTATCTTGTGTTGCCGTCTGGCGTGTGGTCTCCGATATTTGCTAGCGCGGTGTTGGCGGCAGCACGGCAGTTACGCAGCGTTCCCGCAGAGGGCATGTTTTCGTCTAGTTCGTGGGTCAGTTTCATCACAGCAAACAGAAAGGGACCACGGCCTGTTGAACCCCTGCTCTCACCACTGTCAAACTGCAGAGAAAGGCGCAGACGGAGGCATCCGACGTTTCCAAGCCGATGGCCTGAGTGAAGTACCCGAGAGCAACCCACACCCCTATCTCCATGCCTGGGTTTCGTGCGAGAGGAAAAGCGATTGCGGTGTCGAGAAAAACATGGAAAAAACAAGAGAAGGCGTGACCAATGTATCCAGAACCACCGCGTAGTACTGCAGTGCTGGAGTTGCTGATGCGTGTGCGGCTGTAGCACCACTCCGACGGTCGGTCGGTAGTGCCATCTTGTATGGTACAGGCATGGACGAAACCGCGAGGGAGTCTCCAAGAGTGAGTGCAACCACCAAGTCAAAGTCTTGTAACTTACGGACGGCAACGAGGTAGATGAGACAGAGCCCCCATGAAATGGACATCGCAGCAGAAATTAGAGCTACCAATAGTGCCCCCACCCCTCTCTCAACGGGTACGTGGTCAAGATGCCCACAGCATGCAATAACCACCGGCTGATGCAAAAATAAGTGTCAGGAGCTGGTTGAAGGCTTAGTACGTGTATTTGTAGAAGTTCAAAATTACCTCACAGAAAGACTACCAATTCGAGATATAACCTCAGTCGAAAGGGATGTGGTATTTTGTTTGTACCCTTTCCCTCCGTGTGCGTCCTTTTTTCGCGGTCGCGCCATTAATCTTCCCTGTAATGGTGAAGTATGGACGTCCAAATCATCCCGTTGAGCGTTGAGCCCGTTCCACAACGAAACGTCTACGGAAAATAATAAAAACATGCTTGGCGACAAACAAACAAACATGCTTGATAATCATTCGGTCGTCGTGAACTCGACACCTAACGTACGTGGTACGTTTACACCAGACTCGTGAAAACCAGAAACTGCCGTATACGACACAAGATAACACACCCCCTGGACCGATTTTCGAAGCTCGAATGTCAACAGCAGAAGGAGTGGGGGTGCCGAAAACGGCGGTGTTGAAGCCGTCTGGTGAAGAGCTCTCCGAAAATGTATCGTTTCGCCCATGCATCATCTTGGGCTTGGAGTTATCGAGCTTTGAAAATCGGACCAGGGGGCGCGTTATCTTGCGTCGTATACAGTACATCCCGGCGGCGGGGAGCGGCATGTTTTGGTTTCTCCCCGCTCCCGAGGCATTTTGCGTAGACAGATGTTCAACACAAGTCGTCACTCGTACTTTCACCAAAGCATAAATGTTTCAAGTACACCAGAACAACGGTAACCGTGTGTTTGTCAGGACACCAGGATAAGTAAATGGCGGGCTCGACAATCATTTGTCGTTGAACATATCTGGGATCTGAACCTGTCAGCTGTACCTGCGATTAAAACCTCTTTTTGGCGGTAGTCAGCGAAGGGTAGAGATGCTCCCGCAGCAATCGCGAACCGCACGAACGCCGCCGTAGCGTTGGACACCTCGCCATGCTGCTCGACAAATTTGACCTATTCATATATTTGTTGGGCGTGCAGGGGGTCCAAGCAAGCGTCTACTTTTCAGACACACAAGAGGAGGTAGCACGAATTAAGGTTGTGCAAAGGTTGTGCATTGTAAGCAGTACAAAAGGAATGCGGAGGTACTTCGAAGTACAAAACAACACGAGACAGCCGGCCGTACAGGCCTGGTCGAGCCAAGAATATGCCAGGGTGTGAAGAAGTGAAGGCATGCGTATGTACTCTCCATACATAGTGCCTTTAAGGTGTACTTGCAAGTTCCACGTCTTCAACAGTAGTCAAATTGCGGGCGCGGAATGACAAGGTACAACAGACGACGATTGACACGATGACCCAGGCACTTGCTTCAACCGCACATGCGTGGCGCAGGAATTCGGCGAATCTAAACTTGATCTGCTGAATATATGTTTACGAGTATGCCAGTAGTAGATAAGCAAAATATGTTTTCGATTTTTCGCTCAACTGCTGTTGTAGGCAGCTTCTCTACCTTGCGACAGCTACCAACCCCGAAGAACGCCGGCCACGTACCGCAGGGAAGTTGGTGCCCCAGAGCAGAGCAACCCCAAGCAAGAGGGCTCGATACTTCCAGTACTCCCACCCCGTGGCAACCTCCGTGGGCTGCTGCTGCTGACGCTGCTGCTGCTGTGTCTCCTCCGTCACTGCCGCCCCTTTCTGTACCTCCTCTAGTCCACTTACGCCAATCTTTATCGCGTTCAGCGCGCCCTTCTTAGGTGCTCCACCTTGCCCTCTTGGTGCCCTTGCTCCCGGGGCAACTTCTCTCTTCGTCGCGCGGAGCGCACCCGCCGCCGCGGCTCTCCGGCCTCCTCCGCCTGCTGCAACTTGCGGTTGTAACAGTCTTCTCCGCCTGCTGGGTGAGCTGCCGCTGTCCGAGCCGGACAAGCAGAGTGGATCGAAGTCACTGGTAGCATCTTCGCGAGCGCCTGACATGGAGCTCGTACATCGGCTCCGGCCGCAGCTGGCTGCTGGGGCTCCGAAGCAATCAGCCACAGGACGCGTGCGCGTCACATGTGGAAGGCTGGTGAAAGCCGACACCGCGGCTGCGCAGTACAGCACGATCGCAGCTGTGCTTGGTGACATGGTGGCAATTTTGCAATGACGCATTGCGACGATACAAATTTTCGTACTACGGTGTGGGAAGCGGAAATTGATCGGGTCTAAAGGTGTCTGACCCAGATGTGTGCTGACCCAGATGCACTGCTGTGTCAAAACGAGCTGTTTCCGCACACCGCCATGTTGCAGCTGTGTCAAAAACAACGGTACATGACATAAAATAAAAAATATATATACATGGTGATATACCATTGGTCAGAAAAAGAAGAAGAAAAGAAAGAACAAGGGGCTTCACAGCAGAAATGGCGAGACGGGGCAGGGGAGGGTCTTGTGTGAAATCAATTCTCCGCTGCGTGTGCCCTCTCGTCCTTCTCAAACTAAACGTCGAACTACTGACTGTCCTGTGCTGAACCGATCAACGGCGAGTGGAGGTCGGGCGACATACGCCACTCGACGGTAAGGCTGAAGGAGGAGAGTCTTGTAGACGCTTGTTGGCTTGTAACACATCACAACCTTGGGTCAATGTTCGTCAATATTTGTGTTGAGTTTGGGTTCGCAATGTAGTAGTCCCTACTGCTACTTTATGTGTCTATCCATCACGCCAACTGTCGGAGGATCGTATCCGACGTTAGAGTAATTACTGATTAGTGTAACTCCAAGAGTCTGAGCCCTCCTTTACTGTCCTTCTCTGGAGGAGAATGATTTGTGCGCTCGTTCTACCTTTCGCACTCTCCCCTCGCCCTCCCCCGCCCCCTCTTTCCCTTTCGTCTCGAACAACAACAAGCTCCTGTTGGCGCTTTTGACTCTTTGCCTACGAGACGCGTGTGCAGAGTTACCCCCATTGACATGCGCCCAGCTCCAACCTTTCCAGGTGTATCCCCCCAAGAGGGACCCTTATTTCAGCCACATGCAGTTCACTGATGTGGGGGCGTGTGCCGATGTGGAGTGTGCGGCGTCTAGCCTTCCTCGTAAAGTAGTATCCAAATCGGCTTCTTGTTGTTCTCAAAGCCAGCAGCCGTTACGGTCTTCTTACTGTTTTTCCTCTCGTGTGCATGCGTTGTGGTTCTCGTTTCTCTTTCTCCCGCAGCGGGCACCGCGCCCCCCCTCTACTGTATCATAATAGCGCAGCACGGTCGAACGGTCGAACACGACCATGACTACGCACGAGATGAACCAAGAAACGCTGGGTGAAGCACCTGCGGATGCCTTGACTGCTGTAGATCATGCTGTGGATTCTGTCGTGGAGTCAGGCATCAGCAGTGGCAAGGGGGGCGGAGAGAAGACCATCAACATGTCCGAGGGCGCTGAGGCTTCGACTGCCATTTCTTCCCAGGTGAAGGGAAGAAATATACTGCATGTAACTGAAACAATGCTGGGGAGTGGCCGTTGCGCATTGTAGGCTACAGCACACCGTTATTACGGCACACCGTTTTGTGCTATCGTCGGTTTCATGTGCCTGCTGCAAAAGCGATGCGGGGTAGAACCGATGCGGGATAGAACCCCGCCCATGATGACGACTCTTCGCGTCCGATTGCGATGAGCTGTCCGGAAGATGCCCTGTCTCAATTGTGTGTGAACATGTTCGGTATTACCACCCCCCGTTGCAACATCTAGCGGGTAAGATCGTCGGAAAAAAGGGGTGGTATCTTGAAACAACCGACATGTGTCGAGGTGACGTACGGTATTTCAGGCATGGGAGATTTCATTGTCGCCGACGGTTGATTTCGTCGTTGCTCGCCATGTCCGGGCTCCGTACGCAGCAGGCTTGTATTGCGATCATGTCATGAATGCCAAGCTGGCATCGGCGCTTCTCTTTCTCTCTCTCTCGCTGGAGCATCGGAAACATTGCCTAATCCCTGTTCGGCTTGACGCTGCACGGGTCTGGTGGCCACGAGAAAGGGCGCGACAATTCAGATCCCACATGTCAAACGTGCTATTATAGCAACCCACTTGATCCTACGAACGTTTTCGTGTGCAACGGCCGAATCCGCTTGCGAAGGAGGAAGAAACGTCCAACCTGGACAAAGATCCAGCGCCACCCAAGCTGAAGCAAGCCTTAGACCCTGCCGTTGGAGGCGGGGAAATGTCGAGCTTGCCTTCGAGACTGCAAATTTCGCATTCTGAAAGGTTTTCGCCGTCTTCCAGTCGAAACTCTTCGCCTCAGCGAGGTTGGAGAAGAAGGAGGGCGTCGAGTGGAAGTCCAAGCCGCAGCTTGTCGGCATCGCATAACAGCTCGCTGGGAGAACGACCTGGCGTTGCCAGGGGCAGGCGGACTCTTGACGGCGGCTCTTCAGGGCGAGTCTCGATGTCGTCGGCCATGTCAATTACGCCATTGTACCTTGGTCATGCGTTCGTCGAGGTGGTTCTCGTTGGCACAGTCAGTGTTGGACCAATTTGAACATCTGTCAAGAATGAATGGCTTTATGCGACGTGGGCTTGACTCTTTGTAGTCGATTTTAGATCCGAAGCACGCGGCCGCACTATTTAACACACACACAAAACACACATGGGCAACAGGATGCCATCGTCAGGCACGAGAGGAGTTGGAAACGAGGCTCGCTCTTCGCTCTCGAACAGGACTTCCCCCCGTACGAGCCACAGCCCTGACACCAAACGCACCAGCATGTCGTTCGGGGATTTTGTCGCCGCCAGGTATGTCGAGAGTCGAGGATTTGCGAGTTGCCGGGATGCTGCTTGTAGACCATGCTTTGCGACTGTCAAGGAAAGAAGAACCGAACTCCTGCTCCGGAGGAAAATGTTCTGTTGATCTATATATGCAACACGCATCATGTATGTAGTCGTCCAAGAATTCCCTCTGGGGATCCTTCTGATCGTTTCCGGGCATCGGTTCTGCCTCCCCCGACGACGAGCCCCCGTTGCTACTCTGTGTTCGTTCTCTGTGTCCCTATCTTGTACGTACCGCTCTTCCGTACTCGTCAGCAACACCGAACTGTCGCTTCTGGAATCATCGCGCCTTTCTGGAAATGGCAAGAGGCCACGCGACCGCAACGCGCTGAGGGTAGCAGTGAGAATAAGGCCACTGATAGAGCGGGAGAAGGGGTCGAGGGCGGTCACGTGTGACGGAGGAAATGGGCGAATGGTTGTCGTCAACCCGATAAAGTTCAAAGCTAGTGCCGATGCGGTGAGCTCTCCCGCTTAAACTATGATAGGTTCCCGCAGGTGGGGGGGGATAGACCCTGCCATATCTCGCATGTCGTTCACATTGCAGCCTTCGCGGAAGAGGGTCTTTTGGACTGAGTACATGCTTGCCACGATATGTACAGCAATTGCGAGTGCCACTACCAACCTCGTCGGGCCCGTACACCCTCCCTCCCGGCGGCACCTCAACAGGTCCTTGCTACCGCGTCTGCCGTGAGCCGCGCCAACATGGCCACGTCCGACTGGCTCCGTCCTTTCGACTTCGACCGAGTGTTCTGGTCTCCTCCCAACCATCCCAACGGCGGGGGCGAAAAGGACAGTGCTTGGACAAGCGAGCGCGCGACCCAGCAAACGATTTACCAAGTGCTGGGCGAGAGGATTGTAGAAGACGTCCTGAATGTTGGTTGGACAAGTCCTTGGCGATCGACAGAGACTTGCCTGTGTTTGACCCACTGTTGTTGCGCAGTCTGGAGGATAAACCCCGCCTGTCTGACCCAGGTCTCTTGTGTTCAGTTGGCCGCAGCGCATGGAAACGTCGGTAACAATGGTTGCTGTTGATGTCACTCACGGCACGCTAGCCGATCTCTCCCGGGCAATATTTTTTACTGAAACACTGCCCATGTCGTGGCGCACATTTCTGTCCAACACAGGGCTTCAACTGCTCTTGCTTTGCCTACGGTCACACCGGGAGTGGGAAAACGTACAGCATGTTCGGCTGCAGCGACACCGCTAACTTGCCTGACGACGACGAAGCCCTCGCCGCACCGCCTCAGGAAGAGTGTTTTGGTCTGGTGCCCCGCGTCTGCTTTTCTCTTCTAAACCGTCTGGAGGAAGCTAACACAGGTAAATGTTCGAGGACGGGGGGTCATTCTGCGTCCTCCAGTTTGGCTCGCGAAGTTGTATTGGTGGTCGCGATCTCGGCAAACCACGAGAAAACCCGCGAAATTTTCACTGCGCTATGCCAAAAGTTCCATGTGCAGTGCTTAGCGCGCGAAACGGCAACGCCCCAGAATCCGGCACGAGTGCTGGGTGTATGGATGCGCTACCACTGATGCCTCTTCAGCTGATGGCGTCACCATGCCCTCTACTCCTCACGTCGCATGCCACACGCCCGTACAGATACTTCACGACACGAGCCTGGGACGTCGAGCGTTGGCGTATCTGTGCAGTTCATCGAGATCTACAACGACAGAATCCGAGACCTCTTGCACCCGGGGGCTGACTCCAGCGCGTTGCGAGTACGCGAGCATCCGCAGACGGGCCCCTACGTTGATAACCTCGTCCCTGTGAAGGTGCACGCGTAGCAGGAAGCAACTGGTAACCATCGAGCTACGTCAATGCAACGGCTCAAGTGTTTGCTATGTGTCACGTTGGTACCGGTCCCGAGCGTTGGGTTCTGCGCAAATCGCTAACTTGATGGGGTGGCCTTTGTGTGGCGATTCAGCCACGACGTCTGCGTTGAAGTACTGACCAATGCCATCGCTTTCACCGTATGTTTATTTTTTAGGTCGAGTCATGGAGTCAACTTCGGCAGCTTTTGGCGCTCGGGACTTCTGCTCGGTCAGAAGCGGACACTCCTGAGAACATCAAGAGTAGCCGCGGCCATGCTATCCTCACCATGGAGGTTGGTCGTGTTTTTTTGATTGGCGGAGGGAGGCCTGGACGAAGGAATCTGGATGTCATAGAATCGTAGTTTCAGGGATAATTGAACCATTGACGCTCAAGTTGATATCTGTATTTTGCTGTTACTCGAGCTACGTGCATCGGGTGGGTCTATCTTCAAGCGATATAGACTGGAGCTTGCATCGAAATCGAATCATGACAGCCCATGCACGAACGCAAGTTGCTGCGGCAGCTCTGAACGAGTGTTGTGAAGGGTTGTCCAACCCTCGGAGCATGTCTCTGACTCGTGGGCCCTTCGATTTGACGCAACCCGGTTTATTTTGCTATCGGTTCACAGGTCAACACGCGGACGGGACTCAGCCGCGTGCAAATGGTGGATCTTGCGGGCTCGGAGCGTGAAGTTGTTGCCAATAGCCGATCTTCCGATGGTCGAACAGGCCGCGAGCGGGGAGCGGGGGGGGGCGGAGGGGGCGGCGATGGGAGGACGGTATCGCAACGGCTGACGTTATCCCAACGCCTTCGCGAGACGGCCCAGATCAAAAAGGCTTTGAGCAATCTAGGCATAATTATCAAGGGCCTTTCGAGGGGAGACACGCCGGTTGGACTTCCCTTCAGGGATTCCATTCTCACTTGGCTACTGAAGGTTGGTTGGATCAATCCCTGTTTCAGTTGTGTAGCTGGTCTGCAAGGTAGTCTCTTACGATGACGACGTACGTGTTGAGTCGCAGGAATTGCGGTGTTTTTCACGTGTTTGAGAAGACTCTTGAGATGTTTTTTGTGCCATCGAGCCTGCGGGAGGGTCAGCGAGCTACTCTCCTCACGAGGGACTTGAACAATGCAGAGGCGGAACAATGCACGCGCTGTAGTGTACCAGGTCGGTACACTGCTGCACCATTTGCTTGCGGCGAAAATATCGCTTGGTAGGTAGACTCGACAACTCTCGTTCGACGAAACGAGAATTCAAGGCTTTGACACCACGCTACGCCCCCGGGCATGGGGGGACCCATGTTTTTCGTAACGATGCAGGAGGCCCTCTCCGGCCGGGCACACACTACCATGCTGGCGACGGTGAGCCCGTCGTCCAACAGCTATGTCGAGACCATGAGTACGCTCAAGTACGCGGAGAGGTTAAAAAAGGCAAACGCACACCTCAACAAGGATTCGGGAGGCGCAAGGGTAACCACGGTGAGAATATCGGGCGGCAGATTTTGACAGTCACTGCCCATTCCCTGAGAGGTTTTGCGGAGTTATAATTCGTTTCAGGCGTGGGGTGTGATTGAATGGCAACAGAGAAGTTCACGTGGTGGGTAAAGTAGAGCGAGGAAGCTAGAGAGATACTTATTCACTTATGTAGCAGTATACTTCTGTATTAGACGGGCGACCAAGGAGTGCGTTGTTCCTGACGGCGTTGCGAACAACGCCGTGGTAGGGACCTTTTGAAGAATTCCGGAATTCTTTTGTTGTAGGGTCCTGATGTCGCTGCGTCAAGTGGTGGCGGCATGGTTGGCGACGAATACCTATGGTTAGAGGGGCATGGTTTCGGCAGGTCCGACCTCGCGATGTCTTAATGCTTTTCCTGTCGTGTTTACCGGTGCATCTCGTTGCTCCTCGTATAGTGCATTGATCATTCACACCCGCAGCGTTTTTTTTGTGCATGCACAATCGAGGCCTGTTTTGCCTGAACGAATGTCATGGCCACTCACTAGAAGCCTGGGTAACCTTTTTGTTGTTTGACCCGTGCAGCCCTCGGATGGAATAAAGAAGGAAATGGCGAGCTTGGTGGAGAAGCTGGGGGCTGACGGCATTGAGGCCAAGAGACAGGTACTTGTAGACTTGATATCAAACTGGTATCTGCTGCTTGCGATTCGCAGGTACGTGATCATTCCGTAGTTGTCTGTTCACGACCTTGCACTCCCGTCCCCGTCCTAAGCTGCAGGGTTTCCGCGCGTTGTTGTCCAGGTGCTGTACCAAACAGTATCTGACCCTCAGCAGCGCATCGCCAAGCTCACGGCCAAGGACCCAAGGCGTCGGAGGACAAGCAGCGGCGGTTCCGCTGCGCCGATTGGCGACCGTCGCTCTGGCGATGAAGACGTCGTTGCACCGCGCCGCACGAGCTTTCCCGGCTCCTTGTCCTCGAAGCCCTTTGGATGGAAGGCCACCACGCCGTCTCGGGCTTCCGGCAGGACTAGTAGCCCTTCCGTTGCCGGCGGCACCGGGGCGTGGGGTTCGCCGATCAACACGCCAGACGATACATCTTTGGAGGGCAACGTGCTTGACGAAGGACCGGGGGAAGACAAGCACGGCGCGGGTGTAAGGGTTGGGAAGATGGGTGACGATGGAGCAGACAAGGAAAACTCCACAAGCGAGGGTGCGGGCGCTGGTATTACCGATGGGGGCAGTGCTTCGTTAGGTGTGACCAGCCCCGAGCCTGAAGCTCTTCTGTTCAAGGCGGGCCTGCTTGAAGGGGGGTTTTTTGGCGGTGACCCTGAATTGACGCTCTATAGCGAGAGCGGCAGTGAGAGCGCGGGGGGCGGGGATGCAGAGTGTGCAACAGGTGAAAATACTGACGGCATCCCTGGAAGCGTCACTGGTGATGGAAGTGGTGGTGGAAGTGGTGGCGGGCATAATGGCGGCGGTGGTGGGAGTATTGGCAACGCAAACGGTCACGAGAAGAGCGTGGCGGTGATGCAACTTGATGGCAGTGATGCTGATGGCAGTGATGGCAGTGATGGCAGTGATCCTGATGGCGGCCGAGACAACTCCGAAGGCGAGCAACGCCCGCAGGCCTGGCTGCCGTCACCGGGGAGTGGCGCATCCCCCACTTGGGCTGGAACGAGTTCGTCGGAAGACGCGGAGCCACACAACCGCGCAAGGACCGATGCAAATGCGGAGGGAGCCACCGCAGGCACGTCTACGGTTGCAGCCGAAGTCGGCGACGCAGCCACAATACCCACCTACCCACCAGTGTCAGACCGGGGCGATGCGCCACCGAGACCTGAGACAACGGTCTCTCACGTTACGGGGTCTTCAGACACGTATGTAGGAGGGTCGACGGATACTTTCTTTGGGGAACCGTCGGATCCCCACGAGACAGGATCGACGGGGATGGTGACAGGACGGGTGCCGAGCTGGGGAGAAACGTCCGGGAACGACGTCGCAGGACCGACGGTAGAGCCGACAACTGAGGGCCCCGACTCGAGGAGGGCGTCTGGGTCCCAAGTCGCAGGATCAACGTCAGTACCCATAGGTGGACCTGCTGGGGGACGGGAGCCAGGCGGGAAAGCTACGGAATCAACTACCGTACGGAGGGGAGAGGTGACGGATTCTCCTGTTCTGACCGGACGAGTCCCTGACACCGCCACGAGCAGTGCTCCTCCGTCTAGACGAATCACGTGGAGTGTGGATGAAGTAGAATCTACGGGAAACGGGAGGCATCGTCCCGCCGGCCGCACAGGGGACCAGAGACTCCATGAAGCCCAAGGACAAGGTCTTCTGGTTGACTCTGGCCTTGGCAACCAACAACACGCGGACGAACGTGACGACACGGCTTTGCCTGAGACCTTGGCATTGAACTCGTCCGTAGAGTCTGGAGGAGGAGCGGCTGCTCTTGCAGCAAGCGGAGTGTTTGATGTCACCGGCACCTCGGCCGAGGGCGAAGGGGATAGTGTTAGTGTTGGCGATGTCGACAGTTTAGACGGAGTGCGAGCGGAGGCTTGGGCACGGCCACCACGCCCCGCGCACGACCATCAAGAAGGCGGACAAGGGGTGGCTGGCGGTTCTGGTGGAGTTGCGTCCACTGATGATACACGCGGGCTGATTGAAGGTCTAATGCAGCAGGTGACGCAGCCGCTGTCATCGCCAGCTTATCGTGGAAATGATGTGAAGATGTAATCGTCTTGGTGTACGTTCACGTACCTGGTGGTCGCTCAAACCCTAGGCTTCTTGTTCAACAATTAGTCCCACCCTTCTTTGAACACGGCACCTCCTTCCTCCTTCTGCTTTACGTGCGTTGAAACCAGATTGAACAGCTGAAAGCTTCGAATGCCTCCTTGACGGAAGAAGTTCGGCGGCTTCAGGACAAACTGAGCAGGAGCAAGGTCAGTGGTAAATATTAAACACACGGTGTTTTACCTGACATATGGTTGTATGGCAGTGCACGTATCCCAGGCCGGAGACGTTTGCTTTACACCGTTGTGGGAGACTGGATTGCTCTGCCGAACATTTTCAGTAGAATTTTTTACTGGTATGTTTCACGTGGTGCAATAAGTAACACCTTTGGCCATACCGTTTTGCGGAAAGCGGTCTTGGCCCGTGCACCAGTAGTATATGGTGCCACTCGATCTTTCAACCACCTTGTACGAGAGCGGGCGTTACACAGCAGCCACCCACGAATCGTGAACTATGTACCCTCGCCTGTGTGCGGTATTTTTGACCGATTCCTTCAGGAGTCGGAGGAGGAAGCCTGGGCGCTTGGCGATGATACCGCCAAAGAGTTCCAGACCCGCCTGGCCTCCATGCAGAGGGATCTAGAGGAGCAGGCTAGCCGTGCCCGTGAGGCTGAGAGAAAGGCGCGAGATGCAGACGCGCGTGCGGAGAGCGTGTCGGCCAGCGGAGACGCGTCAAGTCAGTTGCTGGACGACGTCCAAAGGCGGATGAGAGAGGCTGAACGACGAGCCGACGGAGCGGAGGCAAGGGAGGGAGACCTGGTCGCTCGCGAAAATGATGCCCGCGCACGACTTGCTGCTTCCGAGGCTGCGTTGGAAGAGCAACTAATCGCAGCAGGGGAGGCTCAAAGGCTGCTCGACGAGTCCAGAAGTCAGGCAAAGGAGGCTGAGCAACGCGCCGTCGCTGCAGCGGCGAGGGCGGCGGAGTTAGAAGCGCGAGCCAACGATGCCCGTGCCCAGCTTGAACAGTCGAAGGCAGCCGCGCGGGAGCGAGAAGCTTTGGAAGGGGACGCCCAGAGACTTGTGGATGACTCTCGATGCCGAGCGGAGGAGGCCGACCAACGCGCAGCTGAAGCCGAGGCGAGGGAAGCAAGACTCAAAGCTCATGCCAGTGATGCTCGCACCCGGCTAGAGAGTGTGCAGGCCGCCCTGGAAGGGCAGGAAGCTACGGCAGAGGAGACCCAGCGCCTGCTGGACGAGTATCTAAGGAGGGCGGAAGAGGCCGAACGACGGGCCGCTGGGGCCGAGGCAAGGGAAGCCGAGCTCGAAGCCATGGCCAAAAACGCCCGCACCCAAATGAGCGATTCGCAGGCACAACGCGCGGAGGAGGCCGAGCGGTTGGTTGGTGAGTCCCGCAGGAGGGCAGAACAAGCAGAGCGCCGCGCCGTTGGGGCGGAGGCGAGGGCAGAAGAACTGGAAGGCCGGGCCAAAGACGCCCTCGCCGAAACGAGCGGGTTGCAGGCAGAATTGGCAAAGGCCAATCTGCGGGTCGAGGAGTCCCGAAGGAGGGTGGTCGAGGCCGAGCAACGTGCCGCTGGGGCCGAGGCAAGAGAAAAAGAAGTTGAGTCCTGTGCCAGTGATACCCGCACCCTACTGAAAGACTCACAGGCGGCGTTGAAAGACCAGAAGGCGGTGACGCAGGAGATTGAACAGCTGCTAGACGCGTCTCGAAGGCAGGCTACGGAAGCTGAACAACGCGCTGCGGGCGCAGAGGCAAGGGGAGACCAGCTCGAAGCCCGAGCCAACGACGCCCGTGCTCAACTCGAAGCTTCAAAGGCCGCATTAAAAGACCAGACGATGATGACGGAGGAGGCCGAAAGGAAGGTTCGGCAGACCCAGGCGGCCCTAGAAGCGACCGGAAGTGGTGTGGATGCCGCCGTAGCCGCCTCGCAGCGGAGGGCGGAGCAGGAAAGGGAGAGGGCGGCCGAAGCGGAAGTCAGGGCAAACCGGGCGGCGGCTAAGGCGAACGAGTTGACGTGTCTCGTCGACGAGCACGAGAATCGCCTAAGAAAAGCCAGAGCAAGCCTGGAGGCGGAGGGGACTAGAGCCGACGGGGCGGAGGTGCGCGAGCGACGGACGGCGGCACTGGCTGAGGAGCTAGCGGGTGTGGTAAAAGAGAAAGACACGCGGTTGGCAGGCCTGCAGCAAGCACTTGAGGCGGAGGGAGCCAGGGCTGACGACATGGAAGAGCGCAATAGGACCGCCGAGAGTCGAGTAAGGGAGCTCAAGAGAGAGACCGAGCGACGGCTGAGGGACCTGGAAAGAGTGGAGAAGGAGGTAAAATGTTCGAAATTTACCGACATTTTGTTGGGGAGGGGAGGACGGTACTTTTTTCAACTCTTGTGGTGAGCATCCGGTGGAGGCGTGTTACCGTACGGTCCGAGAGGGGGACTCGCATCACATTCATTTACTCCATGCCGTGTAGTGGTGTAGTGTAGTGTGGTGTGGTGTGCATATCGTGCTGCAATAGTACGGCGCCACCAGGAAAGGAATACCGCGTGCGTTGCATGATGTCCGCGTTCGAATGGCGCTTTTGCTCACGCGTGGTGACGTGTCTTTTGACAATGCCCTGATATAGACCACCCAGCGATTTCGTTCGTGGTTGATGATTTCTTGCCCATGGTTCAGGCCAAGGCTTCACTTGACGCGGTGAGAGCAGCTGCTGAGACCGACATGGCCCACGCTGCTCAACGAACAGACGCCATCGTGGAAGAGCGGGACAGGTCCCTGGAACAGGTGAGCAAGCTCCCGATATCGTTTTTTTACCACAGGAAAGACTGTCTGGCTCCCACAACGTGCTATTACCGTTACACAGGCACGCGATTACAGCAGTGCGGTTATGCACGAAGACTTTGCGAGCCAGCCCGGTTTCGTGTTTGAGGGTCAGCCGAACTATCGAAAAGCCTGTTCTCGATCGGCTGAACGAGTTGAAGGAATGATGCTTCGCCAATCTCAAAATACGCGCTGTTGACTCCAGCGGTATTGCAAGCATGTCTCGATTTTTGTGTGGCGCAAACTCAGGTCGAGGCCGAGCGCACAGAGGTCTTGAGATTGGCGGCGGAGTTGAAGGACCTACGCGCGGCGGCAGAGCAGGAAGCTACCGCGGGTAGGGAGAAGGAAGCGACGCTCAAAGCGATGCTGGCCAGCGAGACCGAGGTATGTAGTCTAGCGACTTGGGCTCCAGCCACAGGTCAACGGTTCGTGCGGTGCTATGAATCAAGATTGTGAAGCAGCCCCCCCACACAAAAGCCGGCGTGCCCTTGGTGTTTTGTCCCGTAAAATAGGCACGTGAAAGCACGGGTCGTGAGGTGTCCGGCTCCTGCGTGAATTTGTATGTGCATCCCTCCTACTCTGGCCGGTTCTACTCCTCCCTCGCTTATGTTGTGGCTACCCACGCGGTGTGCCGCCCCTACATTCCTATCGTGACTGTCCCCACTGCGGCCTCCGCTGCTGCTTAGCACCGGCGTCGAAACGCCGTGGCGTTCGGGTTCATTCAACCCCATGCTGGTGCCAAAGTTGGTCCGAAAAGAGATAGATACCCCCATCCTGCGACCATGGCACCTCCTGTCTACCAAACTCAGAACCCCTTGAGTGCACGGCTCGAACTCCGCTGTCGGACCTCGTCCCACCCCAGCAGGGGGGGTGCATGCTAGAGAGGGGGTTATTGTCGTGACGTGCTTTGGAGGTGATGTTGAGCGTTTTTTCTCTCCGTGCTCCCGCGATTGATATGCATGCCGCCAACATTGCAGGCGTCTCGGGCTGAGCAGGTTGAGGTGGAAGACCTGCTGTCGTTGATCTCGTCCGTCCAAGGCCCGGGGAGCGAGGGGCGCACCTCTGATGACGTGAGACAGCCCAAACCGAGTTCCAAGCGACAGAAGTTGTTTTTTTTTGTTGGACTTGACTCTTTTGTGTAGGGGGCTTGCGGTTTGTTTGGTGGTTCAATATGTTTCCAGTTTAGGATCCCTTGTCATATCTGGAGCGTTGTCCACTCCGAAAAAAAAAAGAGTAGGATCGCGAACTGCATCGCGCTCAAGACCTCCACACAGGTGAGCCCAAAAGTTACACTACAACTGAGCCCGAAGTTGTTCGCTTTTGCGTAGGTTCTATTGTTCTTGGGTCGATGAGAACATGAATTGAATAGAGTGAAGGGTCCGGGACGGTCGGAACTAATGAAATCTGGTATTGTAATGCATGCCCCTGGGGAAGTTTGGTTTTGGTCGCCATGGCTAACATCAACGTTTTGTCCCTTCTTCGATGTGTCTCGTTTTTCGCTGTCAAAAGCAGGCGGTGGTTTCAATTCCCGGTGCGCGCGCGGCCATCGAGGCTCAACGGGCGAAGCACGAGGCAACTCGGCGACGCGTAAAGGCTCTGGAGGACGACAATCGCGCCCTCAAGCAACGCGAGGCAGAAGCACAGGTGCGGTGTGATCCATGCCCTAGAGGCGTTGTTGGGGTTTGGTGGAAAGCGAGAGGGCAATTATGTCGTGCCAGGCTTGCTCTGCCTGTCCATCGGGGTTTAACGTGTTTTCGATACACAGGAGCCCCGTGGTCATTGATGGGGGGGGGTGGTGTTGGGTAGAAGGGCACCTCACGAGGTTGTGTACGGACTTGAATCCAAGAGACGTCCGAAGACATGCATTCATTCATTCGGCGGTTTTGTACAACCGAGGGAGGTCCTGTTTGATTCCCTCCCCCACGTGATCTGGGTGTTTGTTTGGGCAGGCGAACTTGGACCGGCTTGGGTTGCTGGAAGAGGAGAGGGACTTCCTTTTGCGCGAAAAGGACACCTTGGTAGGCCGACTGGGAAATCTAGAGGCGCGTCAGGGGTCCCTCCAAGAGCGAGAGAGACAAGTCGAGAATCGAGGTGCGTATGATACAGTGTATTACAACATATTCCACCCGGTGTGGTATCGGCCAGGTACGCTGGGAGAATTTCAACAAGCCGGTCGCCACGGTTGCCTAGGGATGTGGCAGCGGGGCAAACTCTACCGTAGCGCCCAAGTGGGGAGTTCCAATTCCATCGACATGCGTTTTTATTCCACCGTTCTTGCGCGTTGCAGTTGTGGAACGCGTTTGTTTGTTGATCTACTGTGGTTGGGGGAAGGACGGGTGAGAACCCTTTTCGCATCAACAGTTGAAGGCATGTCGCTGACACCCTTGAAGAGATTTCCTGTACAATGTATGACCCCGGGCTGGGGCTCTAGGCTGTGGGAGGCAAGGCGGTAGCGTCAATAAATGGGATCCAAACGATGTAGTCAAGGCCAATGTTCGATGCTAGATGCGTGGTACCTACCGAAACCTGCCTGTTACCGATGCCCTTTCCGCACGCGCGGTATGTGTTGTATTCATTGGTGGGAAACTGTGTTCCTGGTGTTCCGCTCCCCTATCCTGCCTCTATCTTTTCCTTCCTTGGGATCTTTTGCTGTCAGCAAATAAAAACCTCCGACCCTACCCTCTGTTTTGGGCTATTTTGTTGCGTGCGATGCAGAGGGCGAGGCTGCCTTAGCGAGAGATGGCCTCGAGGACCAAGTGCGGGACTTGAAGGAGCGCCTGGCTCGTGAAACTGACCTGCGGGCGAAGGAGGCGAAGAAGTTCGCCGATCGCCTCAAGGAGGTACGTACGTACGTAACGTACGTTTGGACTTGGATTGCGCAACAAGACTTGTATCCAGGTGGTTGATTGTATGGACTTGACGATGCATCGCTGCATCTCGTAGAGCTTACATCTTCGTGGCGCGCGTATCATCGACCGGGTCGTGCAGTCCTATTGTAGTTGCGGACAATGGCTGTGTTGGGTTTCTTTTTAGAGCTCCGCGCACGCTAGAATGTGTTGTTGCTGTCTGGGTTGGGCGTGGCTGGTGGTAGTTCGTAGGCAACGCTGAAATTCTGCCCAATGTGGAGTCACCCTGTTCTGCGACGTCGGCACCGTGATCGGAAAACTCATTTATTTTGCTATTCCCCAAGTGTACGTTTGCAGCCGAGGAACCCGATTGGTCCTTGTGCTTTAGGTACTATACTCGTGCTCTTCACTGTTGCTTCGCTCCCAGTCTTACTTGGCGTTGCCCATCCTGCCCTATCCATGTAGAAGGATGATCAGGCTGAGGAGCAGCTTGGAGACACGTTGAAGCAGGTGATGGAAGGAGTCAAGTCTCAAGCTGGGCACATTCGCGGCACGGTGACCCAGCTCGAAGAAGAGAGGGATAGGGCCATCAGCGCAAAGCAGGCAGCTATCAAGGAGCTCGAGGTCGGTCGGCACACAAAGGATTGGGCAGGAACACGCACAATTTCCTCGTTAACGCTCGTTTGCCTTGCTGAAGAGAGCGCTCGTTTCAATTTGGAAGGCACTCGACGTACGAAGTTTGAACGGCCGTGAGACAAGCCCTTGGTTCTCCAGATTCCGAGTTGCCACATCACAGTTTCTCCGCCGTATGCATGTATCGCCACTACGTGTCCATTGCGCTGGGTTCCTTACGAGGTTTGACAAGGACCATGATCGTTGTTCGGAGCCGTCGGAGGTTATGACTGTTGGTAGCCGCTTCTTGTGGGGGTTTGGTGAGGGCGCTTTTGAGAGAAATACTTCGTACTGCTTGGGCTCTCGCCGGTGCCGGCATGCAATGCGCACAAACAAACTCACAGTTCCTTGAATCCTATGGTCATGGCGACATGTCATCAGGATGTCAAGTGCGAGCTTGAGGCCGTCAAGAAGGAGAAGTGTGAGGCGAGGAGCGACTTCGACGAACAGATGAAGGTAAGCATAGGCCAACTGCACATGCGGCGGTTTGCTTGAGTGGCGTCGAGACTATCCCGTCTATAGTACTCGTCATCGAAAAGGAGCGTATTTCTTCCTGTCGACTCGCTTGTTGCTTGGAAGTTTTTCCCGACATGTTGTTTTGAGCAGACAGGACAAGCGCACCGTGTGCGACTTATCTCGTCTTCCTAATACGCAATAGGGAAAGTGAGACACACGTACCAAGTAGATGGCAAGATGTCCGTGTAAAGCAAGAGCAACCAAGCTCTGGGAGGGTCCGCCCGGAATATTCGCACTGTACCACCCACCTTTCCTGAACGTTGCACGTTTTGCTCGTTCCGATCTGCCATGCATTGCTGCACTACTGCACAGCAATCAGCAAGGGAGCGGGCTGCGCTGTGGTTGGCGGTAAATAAGCTTGATGTCCTTGAGGCCGCCAAAGACTCTGCCATCAAGGAGTTACAGGTCTGTTCGTTGTGCTCTGTACCACTCATCACTCGGCCACTCGAGTCAGAGTGAGCTTTGAGCATATGAAAAACCAACTTTCCGAATCGCGGGCTTGAGGTCATCAAACCTAGGTAGAACAATACCAGTAGTTATCAAGAGACGACCTCTTGGAAGACCACTCCGTTGTGCTGGCCATCGGACGAACTCGATACTTTCGTAAGATCTTTTGTCATCCGTTGCAGTAAAAAACCCGCCTGTCTATGTGTGCCGATTCTCGCATTGCGCAGAAGGAGGGAGAGGACAAGGCGCGTGCTCTCAAGGTGCTGCAAGCGCATAACGCCGGGTTGACGAGGGAGCTTGGGCAGGTTGACATGTCCCTCATGCAAGCCTTGGAAGACAACGGGTTGACTCTGGACAGCGTCCGGTTGCAGAACACGCCCATGTCAAGGAGGCTCGGCCGCCGCAGGTGCAACGGTCACAACCCAAAACGTATACTCGTCAAATGGACTGACGCAGTCCTGCATCAACGGATTCAATCAAAGGACTCGGGAGAACCTCATTAAATGCCCGCCAGATTGTTAACACTGCACTCGTGTAGCTAACGTCACGAACTGAAGCCATTCAGGGATCCCATCACACGAAAATGTAAATGTTGACCGAATTCGATAGCTCGCAGTCGTTCACATCCATCGGCTACTGCTGTATATCACACGATCCCTCAGGCCGTCAAGCCACGACCCTGTCGGCATAACCAACGGCGGTGCGGCGGGCAGCCCGCCACCGGAGCCCGAGGAAATAGACTATGGTAGCATGCACCCTGTGGCCGGGAGGGGCGACGGGACACCGTGGCAACGAAGTCTTACGAGGTTAAACATCGAGGGAGGGCGGGAGCGGCCTCCTCGGAGCCATTCCCAGGCGGTGGGCAGACGTGGGCATCGTGAACAAGACTCCAGGACCCAAAAGCACATGACCCGAACCCGCAGCGCAGGCCCCGAAGGGTATGCTGGGGATGGGAGGAGGATGCACTCCGGATCGGGAGCTTCCTCACAAACGGATCGCTGGGACCCCGCGGTGAGTCTGTTTGAAGGGCTTTCTATTACTTTGACAACGTTGAGCGGCAAAATGAGCCGGGTGAGCTCACGCATACAACGTGCCAAATGACTGGAACGCACGCAAAGCAGCACACCAACGGGAGTTTTTTATGTGTCCCATGCACTTGTTAGTTCATCTGCTCCCATTGTTCTGCCCTTGCTTTCGTGGCACTCACGCGCGTCTGCAGATCAATACGATTGAACGCGAGATTGAGCAGCTGTCGGAGCGGCTGGACACGGGCCGGGTGCGTCGAGTGAGCTCGCAAGCAGATCTGCCCGGTGAAGATCCGTCGCGAGTGGGGAAACGCCTCCGTTCAAGAACCGAGGTACGGAAAAGCGTTATATTCTCTCGAGAAGAGTGCTACTGTAACCGAACAACAACGGGTGTTGTACGTGAGGCGAAGGCCAGAATCGTTAATGAGAACGCCCCATAATAGTAGTAACCGTTTGCACCGGTGTGTTCTTCGCCTTGTCTGGCCGCCCTGTCTGGTCTTCAACCCATGTTGTGCGTGCGCATCCGTGCACAAGAGCGAAAGTCTCAGCACCCCAGGACTTCTCACCCCCTGGCGTGTTTCCTCGTTCTTCGCCCCCCCCCCCCCCCCCCCCCCCC